ATGGTTAAAGTGGAGGAATGCATTAGGTCACTTTTTTGATAGAAAAATACCACTCAAACTTAAGGGAAAATTTTATAAGATTGTGGTGAGATTTGTAATACTTTATGGTGTAGAATGTTAGCCATTAAAAGAGAAGCATAAAATTAATTGTTGTAGAGATGAGAATGATTAGGTGGATTAGTGGTTTCACTCTTAGAGATAGAATACGAAATAAAACCATACATTAAAATGTTGGAGTAGCTCTAGTGGTAGACAAGATTAGAGAGTCTCCTTAGATGGTTTGGTTACATAAAACAATGGTCTTCCAATGACATAGTTAGAAGAGTATATGGTTTAGATTTGGCCTATGTTAAGTAAAGTAGAGGTAGACCTAAAAATTCATGGTTAGAAAAATTAGAAATGACCTTTCTTTTATTAGATTTAAATGGGAATTTGACTCTTAGCAAGACATAATGGAGAAAAAGGATTCAAATAGCTGACCCCGTGTAATGGGATAAAGGCTTGATGATGATGATGTTGTTGTTATTTTTTTCCTTTGTATTCGGATAAGTCATCAAATTATGTAATAATATTTTTTTGACTCATAGGCTTTACAAATTTTCTAGGCTTGGAAAAGCTATTTAAATAGGACTTTGCTTTACACTTTTTGATTAATTGAAAAAAAAATATTTTTCTAATGTGAATTTCACATGCAAAGGCTTAGTGGTTACTCTACTATATAATGTAGCTTTGTGATTGATCCCCTTAGGCTTTGGTGAGCTCTTATTTATCTATTATTGTCCTTATTCCTCCTCTTTCACAACACAATTTTCATTTCATCTACATAACATCGAACCCAGCTTCACTCAACCCAAACCTCATCCAATGTTTTTTTTCAAAAATCATCCAAATATTTCTTCACATCCCACATAATCTTCTAAGGCCTCAACTCCCAAATAACTCTAAGATACCATAGCTAAAATCTCAATATAGAGAGACAATTTTTTACAAAATTAAAAATTATCATAACTCTTTAACATTTTTTTTAATTCATAAAAAAATACCATCATTAGTTTCCTAATATTCTAAACCTTTAATTTGAAGTTCCTCAATATTTTTTTTTAAGAAAAAGTTGTCTTTTGTTGCCTATAAGTTTCAACACCAAATCTATTCAAAATAAGAGCCCTCCTTCCACCACCACCTAAATAATCCTTTCATCACCACCATAAGGTTACACCAATCAAGTTGTTTCCTTCACTAAGAAAATCCTATTCACCCTAGATTAGTTATTCTATATGAAAAAAAATTTAGGGATAAATATTGATTTCAAAAAGATAGTGTTCAAATGTGTATATTTTTTGGGGTATTAATATTCAAATAGTCAAAATTGCATATCTCCTTTATTAAGTAGGGATGGGATATTTCTAAATATATATTATGGAGGTACTTTGCTTGTGGCAATGACATAAGACGCTACAACTCAAACTTATCTAGTGGTATTTGTTAGTGATCCAAAAAATAATGAGCCATGGATATATTTCATGTCCAAGCTCTAAAAGTCAATATACATAGTGAGAATTTTGACATTCTTCTATGATTGATATAATAATATCAATAAAATTTTATAAATCAAATATTTTTTTATACTCATAATGGAGCTTGACTTATCATGTCATAATAAATATCATGATGAAATTAAAATTTGATAGTTGCTATGAAGAATATCATGTGGCTTGCAAAACATATATATAAGTTGAGCTATATAGGTACTTTGATAAAATATTTGCTATGAATCTAGCCATATATTATATTGAGAATGAAGTTGACATTGAGCAATTAGCTTATGGTCTTCTTCTAAAAAAAAAAACTTGATTATAAACTACTGCTTAATGATTATATTATTAGAATTTTTTAGGCCCACAATATAAAAATGATTCTTTGATTGACTCAATGTAATGGTTAACACAAAAACCCTCTTAGAAAAAAAATTAAAGAAGCATTCGAGAAGCTTATATATAAGGCTCAAAGCTTTATTGTCAACCTAATTAGTCAATTTAAATTTATAAAAACTCTATTATATATTGTGATTACACTATGATATATTAACCTTATAGTTTGTTATATTCAAACTATTAAATTATACTTTGTTGTATCTATCATAATTAAATCTTATTCAAACTTTGTTTGAATCACATTCAAACTTATATCTAAATCAGAACAAATGGTTTGAATAAGGTTCATATAATGATTTATTTAGTTTGAAAAAAGGTTTTAAATTAAGTTTAAATTTTTATCACATGATTTTAATCATGAGAAAAACTCATTTGACTCTTATTCAAGTATGTTTAAACCAATGGTAATCTTGATGAACTTAAAAAAGTAGTCATGTTGGACCCACATTTGTCTGTAGATGTATCTGATCCTATTAGCTGGCGAACTCATAAAGGGGTGACCTGAGAACCTATGTGAGAATAGTGAGAGAATTTGCTAGGAAAATTTATAGTACAAGTGCTCAAGTGGCTTAAAATATCAATGAATCAATAAAAAAACTCGAAATGCTCCTCATCACCCTTTATATATGGGGAACTGAGTGCTACAAAAAAGGCTGGACTAATAAATAAGTAGAAAATATAATGATTTATAGACTTGCATCTAACAAATGCTATGAAATCATCAACAACCTGTATTGGAGCCACGGATTGCCTATAAAATGATGGTTGCATGGTAGGTGAGTTCCATAGTAAGATGGTCATGGTGGAGCGAGAAGGGAATCTCTTAAATAAGCTTTTTCTTAAGATTAAGATTGTGCAAGTGTGAATAATGATGCTCTTGTCATGTTTATAAATGAATTGCTTCAGTGGATTGCCTATAGTACAAAGCAACCAGCTAGTTACTTAATCCATTAGGACCCTTAATTACCCCTATAAGAGATGATCTCCTTATGCAGACTCAAGTTAGTAACGCCTAATGGTCATTGGACATGTTCATTTATATGGCCCATTATATGCAAGTTCCTTTATCATGACCCAATGACTAGTTGCTAGAAAAATGAAGGCATGTGTGAATATATATTTAGTTTTCTAATTCACTTGACCCTTTTATAAAAAAGTGATTGAAAAGACAAGTGAATTAATGACAAGTATTAACTATGGCAATGAAATAATAAGAAGATGGTAAATGCAAAATTACAAGCCATTTCATGGATGATACCTAACCCTAACAACAGGTAAACTTTGAGAATGTGACCTTATAGCTTGTGGAAGAATGAATAGAATAATTCACTAGAGAAAATCTTCATTACAAGTGTTTGAGATGCTCAAAATCTCACTGAGTAATTCAAAAGATCCAATATGCTCCTCATCACTCTTTTTTAGGGGTTTGAGGGGTACATGAAAGGATACATCTACAAAGAAAAATAAATTATAATATTATACATACTCTTAATATAGACTGCCCTAGGCATGTGTCGCACCTTAATTGGCTAGAGGAAGAATAACTCAACATGTCTAATAATCAGCCTTAAGGCGAGCTCAATAATGGTGAGTGAGCATGATTAACTCCAATATTACCAAGTGTGCATAAACAAGTCTATCGACGAGCATTGAACAAGAGAGACCCACGCTCAGGGGCGGAACCAGCTTCAATTTTCAAGGGGGAAAATTCAATACAAAAATAATTAAATATTAAAAATAATATAAATATATTAAAAAAGTTGTTTAAAAAAAATTAAGCAATAAAAAAGAAGAAAAAAATTGTGTAATAAAATTGTCATAAAATTATGAAAGAAAATATTAGAACTAAATTTGAAAACATACATAGATATTTTAGGGTATGTATTTATAATTAGCGGTAGATTAAAACTTGTCATCATTAGGATTAGTACAAAAAAGTTTTTTAAGAGGGGAGTTTGGAAAGAATATTGAGCAAATTAAGACAAAAAAAATTTTTTGGGGAGGCAAATGTGATTTTTTAGGAGGGGCAAAAAACATTTACTCTAATTTACTCTCCTTAAAAAAATTTTTTTTTTGGAGGGGGGCAATTGCCCCCCCCTCACTTCTAAGTGGTTCCGCCCTTGCCCACGCTTGACATATGCTATAAAGTTGTTGGTGACCAGTACTAGAGCCATGGACTACATAGAAAAGGAAGGTGAGCAAGCTATCATTGTGTGGTAGGCGAGCTCCATAATAAGATGATCACGATGGAGAGAGCTAGGACTCTTAAAAAGGCGCTTTGCTATTGCTGAGATGATGAGTGTGAGTAACGATACTCTCGCCATGGTTGAATGTGAGTTGCTTTGGTGGACGACCTAGACTATGAGGTTAACGGCTAGTTATTTGAACTACGAGGACCCTCAATTACCCCCTACGAGACACATATCTTCTTCTATAAACCCAGACGAGTAAGGCTTATTGATCCTTAGGTAAGTTGATTTGTGGGGCCCATTATGTGTGAGTTTCTTTATCACGATCCACTGCTACTTCCTAAACAATAATGAAAATAATAATTTTCCAACTTTCATTATTAAAAGGCATACAAAGTCAATTTTTTTTTATAAAACAATTCAATTAAATTATCATATTATATTATTAAAATACTAAATAAATAATTTATTTATATTATATTTATAAATATCTAATGATTTGTTCATTTTTCTCATAATTTAATAATATTTTTCTTTTGAATTTAATAATAATATTTAATAATGTAATTATATTGACAAATAGTAATAACATTAAAATTAAAATTAAAAATGATAAAATTAAAACCAACTACTTTCTAATATATAATCTGTTGATAGAAATCTATTGAGGATACTTAGCTAAACCTAAAATTTGGTAGCCATCTTTACTTACCTGTATTCCAGGGTGTATCTAAAAACGGCAACCGTATCCCACTGACAGGTCGTAACGCCACACCACAGCACAGAAATCCCAGAAAAAAGAAATCCCAGACGAAAAGTTCCGTGCGGGAATCTTTTATGCGGTCGTTTGTACTTTTCCGTTCCTATCTGCGGTCAGCCTCATCGCTTGATCACGTGTCTTAACGCGACGCTCGAGAATCCCCTCGGTACATCTCGCCACGTGTTTACCTTCGCCCTCCTCCGCATTCTCTGCTCAGTTCTTCGCGCGCTCCTTCCCTATTCTCAAACCGGTGGTTCCGTTTCTTCCCGTTCGTCCCGTTTCCCTCCCTCTCTCTCTATCTTCTAGTCTTGAACCACCCACATTGTCATCGTTGATCTAGCTCCTTGTGCTCGAATGAAAAAATTGAGCTAAGGAGCGCTGCAGAGCAGAGTGAGCTTCAGGTAGGGTTAGGGTTTTAGGGCTTCGATGTTCAAATGGGGTGCGCGAGCTCGAAGGCTGACGATCTGCCGCTTGTAGCACTATGCCGTGAGCGGAGAGAGCTGATCCGTGCTGCTGCTGACCACCGCTATGTTCTGGCAGCTGCTCACGCTTCCTATTTCCGCGCGCTCGACCGCGTTGGTGAAGCCCTGCACAGGTTTGCCGCCGAGGAGCTCGTTGAAGCCCCGGCATCCCCTGTTCTTACGCTCCCTCCCTCCGATGGAAAGCCTTCGAGGTCTAAATCCGGCGGATCGAGCACTGTGAAGGGCGAGAATGCCTCTGACACGGTGGCCTCTTCCCTTCCTTCGCCCTCTTCTTCTTCAGTCTCTCGGTTCTCGGGTTCGCATTTGGATGAAGAATGTCACCATTTGAATGACCCTTTGGGTTCGGAATCGGAAGAGAGTTTTGAAAGAAGGAACGGAGGAGGTGGTGGGGAAGGATGGAACTCGTTTCCCCATTCCTTTCCCTTCCCCGCATTCCCCAATGCGAACTATTATTATATGAAGGCTGCTCCGACGATTCCATCCACTGTCTACCAGGATCCGCACAGCGAAAAGTGGTATAATGCGCAGGGTCAGCGGTTTGGCTTTGGTTATGGCTATGGTTACGGATATCCGTCTTTTGTTCAGTCTGGAGGCTATTTTTATGAGCCGCCGGGAATGAGTCGAAAGAATGAAGCTCCGGCTGCTACTTCATCTGAAGAACCACCGCCTCCACAGCCACCGCCACCGCCTCCTTCTCATGTGTCGTCTTGGGATTTCTTTAATCCTTTTGATTCGTATGAACAGATGTTTGATGTGTATGCGAAGTCAAGATTTGGGTTGGGTTCGGTTGTTAGCAGTCCTAATTCAAGCGAGGTTAGGGAGCAGGAAGGCATACCTGATCTGGAAGAAGAGACAGAACAGGAATATGTGAAAGACACAGGAAAACGGTCGATTTTGCGAGAGAAGAGAGTGGTTGATGATGATTCGGATAGGTTTAACTCTAGTGTCGGGAGTTCTGAGGCAGTGGCTGCGCCACATGTGGATGAGAAGATTAGTGCGGTTATTCCAGAGGAGCGGGAGGAAAATAAAATAAGGTTTGATGGCAGGAATCTGAAGAATAGTAAGGAAGTTGAGGAGAAAGATGCCAGAAACGAAAGGCTACGTTTTGAGGAAGGTGCGGAGGCTGTACTCATGGAAGACAGCGGGCTGAGCCGGAATGCGGTATTGTTGGTTGAGAGAACAAAGAATGTTGTGGAAGCTGTGAGGGATATTACGGAGCAGTTTAAATCTGCAGCATCCTGTGGTGACGACGTTTCTAGGTTGCTCGAGGTTGGTAAGATACAGTATCGACAAAGGATAAGAATTTTCAAAGGTGTGTAAAGACGATATTTCGTCCTTTATATAGTGTTCACTATACACAATTTTCTTCCAAGCTGAAATATTAATTTCGTCTTTTATGTCACAATGACTTACGTACATTTATAATATGGATGCATGTCTTGTTGATCTTTCCTGCTAGTCTATTGATCTCTTTCAGTCTCTCTGCTTCATCTACTAGTTCCAACTATTATTTGATGTTGAACTGCTTTTATTTTGCAGTTTGTGATTATCGGTTTATCCGCCCTTTAATATTGAGTATTGAAGCACAAAGTTGATTCTTGAGGGATTTGATTCGAGAATTTTGACAACAAATTTCAAGATTTTTTTCAGCTAAGATAACTGGCATTTACTCAAGGCTTTGATTTAGGGGTTACTTTTATTTAAATAGACTATCAAGTAGGGAGATTTTTGCACCTTAATTATCTGAGAATTGCGTTGTCCATGATTTTATGCGATGAGTCCGTTATATCCAATGGTTCCTTTTCTAGAAAGGGTACTCCATTCCTTTCCTTGAAATTGTTGCCTGTTGAAAAACCTGGAATGATGTAAGCAGCTGGTTGCAGATATATTTGAATAATTCTCTTATCTTTTCTTTATTCATAAACTCGGTTAGTCATCCTTTTTATTGCCTAGGTATATATTGTTGAGAATCACATCAAATTAGTGGGTGAGGCCCCATAAACTATCCTAGTGTTAATGGCAACCAGGATTGCTTTAACCAAACAACTAATTTGTTCATCTTAAGTAATTGAATTAAATCTGAGAAGTGGGCCTTGTTGACTTTAGCCCATCTTATCTTTAAATGGCTTATAGCAGTGAAAACTTTAAAGCCTTATTTAATTTGATTACCTATTTCATTTGGAATCAAATAATATTTTCTAAGTAGGCTAGTAGCTTATGGCCATTAATTGAATATTTGAATGCTTAACTATATAAATTGATTAAGGTGTGAAGATTTAGTTATTGGGTAGTTAGGAATTGATGTCAGTGCTACCAAGACCAGTTTGTTCAACCAACTGGTTCAACAATTAACCCAATTTGTTTTTTTTTTAAATATTTTATCCTATTAGTAGTTATCCTAGTCATCAATAGGACTAGTTCTTATCCTAATAGTCATCCAGGGGCTCAATTCTTATAAATATAGCTTCTTCTCTCTACCTGGAATATAACAAGCAAAAAGCTCTTGCTAGAGGCTGGAAATGATTTTAGCCTTGTAAGGAAGTTGTCGGACTGTAAAGTAGGAGGATTGTGTTGCAATGCAAGAGCCCGAGCTTGAGTTTTGATGATAACAAATATTATTGGATTATATTTAATTTCTCCTATGATTTGCTATTGCATATATTTTTTATGTGTACTAACGTTTTAGGTTAAACATACGCCAAACAATGCCAAAGGATCTGAGCTGAAGATTGGGTAGTTTAGGATTGTTATATGTAAGAAGTCTATATTTTTATCTTTTCTTAAGCCTCTGTACTGTAAATGGTGTTTTGTAAGCTTAGAAATCGTACACACATAAGGAAAGTAAAAATAAAAATAAAAATATTTTATTTTTTTTAAATCATACTGTATGATATGTTGCTATAACTATTAATTAAAATATTTTATTTAATTGAAACATTTTTTTAAAACATAACTAATTGTATCATACTCTCTTTAAAATTGCGCAATAAGAGGTGCGCCTCTGCGCAATTCCTCCCAAAACCGCCTTGAAGCCTACGCAATTCCACCTCTGTAAGAGGCGTACACTTCACTGGGACTGAGGCGCTCCTCAGAGGCGCAATTGTGCAATTCTTAGTGAGGCGTACGACTCATGGGAATGGGCCCACTCACTTAAAATGTAGTTTTTTTCTCCTTATACCCGAATGGAAACAGCTCTCCCGAAATTTCCCCATCCCGTACGCTCCAGTTCGCGTATGCCTGATTATATTTTTTCTTCTTGAAAATAGTTGAATGGTGGATCCAATTTGGTGATTCCACCCCTGAGTTACAGAGTTTTGCTGTAAAAGTGTTGGGCCTCACTTGTTCTTCTTCTGGGTGTGAGTGAAACTAGAGTACATATAGTCAAGTGCAAACAAAGAGAAGAAATCAGCTATCAACACTCAGAATGAACTCCCTCGTATATATTATACACATAGGTGGTTGAGGAATAAGGGGATCAAGGATGATGAGGACCCGTTGGTGTGTGATGATATGTCATCTGATAATGAGTTGTTCATAGATGATGAGACAGATTTGCCATTATCAGACTAACAGCTAGAAAATTTAAGTGTGGATGTCTTGAGGGGCGAAACAGATCAAGTTGGCACATTCACTAGTACCACACCACACACATCCACTAGCTCTGCAGCACAACAATCAAGTAAAGGTATTCCACAACTTCTTATATGCTATTGCATTATATTTATATCAAGTTAGTAATTAACATGATAATGATATTTTCTCTTATTGAACAGAGAAGAGAAAAGTGAGTCATATTAAAGATGATGATGATATGACATTTATAGATACAATTGGAGAAGAAGATTCCCTTGAAAACCCATTTAGTGATGGGATATGATTGCATTTTATATGTTTTTTGTACTTTGGGAGTTTTGTTAAACTAATATTTTGTGATTTTGTACTTTGGGACATGATTTTATTGCATCTACTTTCTTACTTTCCACTATTTTCATATATCATTTAGATGTTTTTATTGTAAGATACAATATTGTTATTATTTTCCTGCTAAAACCCTTAATTTTTCATGTACGCAATTCTGTGTCTGTGAGGCTTACGCCTCGCCTCACGGACGAAAACCGCCTCGAGGCTTAATTACGCAATTTTAAACCTTGGTATCGTACGAACAACACATCATATACGTTCAATTGTAATCAGATTCCCGCCGTCAATTTAATTGGGCAATAATTTGAGTTTAAGCTTTGCTTTATTCGTATCTTATGAATATGATCGTATTGTAAGAATGTTAAATTATTGCCTAAATTAATTTTCATGCTTAGTCAATTAAATCAATGTTTATTAAATAAATAAGATCGTACAATATGATGTTGATCGTACTTGACGATTGGCAAAGATGAAATATTTGTCGGAGGATTGTCCTAGATGAAATATTGATTTTTTAACTAATAATACCATACGATCCAAACCGCACCGGATGATTGATAACGACAATTTTGGATCGTCCCAATGATCTTAAGAAGAATGAACGAATCGTACTGTATCATCTCATAATTGTACTATATGACCATTATGCGATATTTGAACATATCGTACTGGTTTGTTCTACGTGCAAAATGAATAGGATTTTTTGAACTAATCGTATTGTATGAACAGTGACGGTTGAATTAAATTTAAACTTTGTGGAAGTTTTTTTGACATTCATTGGGTTGAGTCTTTGAGAGAAAGCTTGAAGAGAGTTTTTATCCTTGACGAGAAAGGGTAAAGCTTGTGAGTGAGGGAGAAGATCCTTGTGGGTTCAAGAGAGTGTGTGTGTGAGAGAGAGAGTTTCACATGGTTGATCCGGCAAACTTGCACCTGAGTTTCTTCATGTGTCAAGGTTTGTCTCGAGGGAAGCTTTGGGAAGAAGACCCCTTTAGTGTCAAAGGGCCCGGTTACTACGCCGCATGGGAGAATGTGAAATTGATTTGGTTTTCTATCTCACCAGGAGGGTGAAATGATTTTAGGTTCTTTGCCATACCAGAAGGGTGAAAAGAATTTTAGATTCTCTGCCTCACTAAAAGGGTAAAAAAAATTTCAGGCTCTCTGCTTCATCAGAAGGGTGAGAAGGATTCCAAGTTCTCTATCTCACCAGAAGGGTGAAAGAATTCCAAGTTTTCTATCTCATTAGAAGGGTTAAAAAGATTCTAGGTTCTTAGCCGCACCGTGGAAGGATGACTTTTATAAAGGCTTGTTCGCCTTGCTGTGGGTGCTAAATGAGAGTCATTAAATGTTTAGTGCAATATCCGGAGAGTGAATGTAGATCAAGGTTTGACCGAACTACTATAAAATTTTTGGTGTGATCGTTTCTTTTATTTTAAAATTTTATTTTTCGCTTTTTTTATTTTTCGCATATTATTTTCTTGAAATCTGAGATGAAGATATTGTGATAGATTTAGATTGTTTTTGTGAGTAAGAAAAAGATATAAAAACAAAAATCTGAAAAAAGAGAACGAAAATATATTTCTGTTCAATCCAAAATATAATTTTTATTTTGTTCTTTGATATTTGGTTTCGCTTATTTTTGTTTAACATTATTCTTAAATGGAGAAATGTTTTGAAAAAAAAAAATTAAATAACTAATTAACCCTCTTCTTGTTGCGCATTTATAGTTCAAGTCAGTCTAACAACCTAAATTGAACTTTCAAGCTGGGGTCTTCTTATAGCAATTTGTGTGGAAATTAGCAAGTAGAAATATCTTGCTAAAGGTTGGATTTGGAGAACATGAAGCAATCTATACAATAGGAATGAAAAAATCAAGATAAGTTCTAGGGACAAAATGAAGAAAGAAATGCGGCAAAAATTCTTACCGGTTAATTATTGGCAAGACATGTTCCTTTGCCTACTTTATCAACAACAAGAATTGTCATTGGAGAGTTATATGACTGAATTTGTACAACTGATGTTGAAGTGGAACTTAGTGGAACCCGAAGAAAACACCATAGCTCGATTTCTTGGATGGTCATTCAATATTAGTCCCCAACAAGAATCATAAGAATGCCACCAAGAAGAGTCAATCCAAGGACAAATCAAGAACCTTCCATGGAAGACTTACAATGAGAGATTAATCTAGCTTCCTGGACATGGAACTCATGTCACGAGATGTCGAGAAAGTTAGGTGTTAGGTGTGTTAATGACTTCGTGTGTGTAAATATTTGGTTGTAGGTCTTTATTATTATATCATTTAATTAAAAAAATTAAATAGGCTTAGGTGTATGCCTCAAGCCGGAGAGGCGAGGCACGCCTCAACCAAATTGAGGGACACACCTCATAGGAAAT